TTTTAGATTCTCTAAAATGCTAATCTTGTGAACCCGGTAAGCACAAAGTTCAGAAATAAATGCTTTAATTCATCCAAGAACTGTCTTATTCAGGCTCAATACTCAGGGCTGGTAGCGATCACTGCTGTCAAAAATAGTGATTTTAGTTACCATGTTGTAGAAATAAGTGACCAAATAGTGACTTATAGTTGTAAAACGAGTGACTAAAAAGTGACCTAAGAGAAAATAAATGTTTGATGTTTTAAACTTATTCAACAAGTATCTCATAAACACTTATGTACGATATGTCCAAACCCACGGTATTAGTCAGGGTGCCTACTAACTGCAAAAACCTGGAAACCTAGAATCCTCAGGAAATTTTATTTTTCCTTAAAATACCTGGAAGGCTCAGAGAATTTAATAATTTTCTTACTAAGGATATTTAAAGAACAAAATGAATTTTAGAATACAAGCATTTAATGTTTCTCGTTATTTACATTCACACTTTGAACTTTATAGTTCCACAGTGAACTTATATTCAGGAGCAAATAAATTAAAAAAAAAAAACAGAGGCTTGAAATGTTTTTTTTTTTTTTTTGAACATGCATATTTCCTAGAAATTTTAAATTTGAACTAGTTCTCGACTTAAAAACTATAATACTTCAAGAAATTTTCAAGAATCTGTAGTAAAAATCTATGCACAGTTTTAAAAGCTCGTGGAATTTTATTATAATTTCTAAGGACCTCATTTCAATGACGTTCTGGGAAAAAATCTTTCAGAAAAACATCAAATGTAACCTGCTTTTAAGGTAGTTCTGATGAATTTAAGGTTTCTTGTGAAACCTGAAAGTTTTGAGTAAAATTTCAAAAAACCCTGAATTGAATTAAAAGCAAATTTTAATGAAAACTCTGAAAATTTCTGAGGAGCACAATCCTTCAGAGCAAAATTCCAATGGCCTTCTGAGGATAATTTTATAAAGTTGTGAAAGAAAACGAATCCGGAGCATAAGTCCTTGGAAGCTTTTTGAAAATACTAAAAGGAAATACAATGTGAGTAGAATGCCAAGGGAAGGAGTGAGATTCAAAAAGGGATTCTGAAATTGATTCAATGAATATTCAGATCCAAAGGCTTTCTTATTGTGGAGAATTTTAAGGTAATTCCGAGGAAAACTAAAAGAAAACTGAATTAGAAGGATAGCTATATTGAAATGTTGAAGAATATTTCAATGGAAATCAGAACTACCTGAAAGTTCCCAAATTAATCCCGAAATCAATAAAACTGCCTTGAAGTTCGTTTGTAGTTTGAGAAACTAGCCGGATGCTCACAATACTTCTCATCAAATACTTAAACTTCCCTGAACTTTATAGGACTTCTCTAAATTTGTTTAATAATCCGGCAAATTTCTGATTTATATATTCATAATTCCCTGACGCTTCTAACGTTTCCGGATCAATCATAGAATTCATGGAATACCCCATAATTCCACGGAACTCCTTGTAAGTCTCTGCTAAATTGCTTAAGTTCATGGGATGATTCTGAAGCTATCTGATCATCCTTGAAATACTCGGAGCTTCGCTGAATATCATGAAACTATCTAAAAGTATCTAAATTTATAATAAGTTCTCTGGAATTGCTTGAAGATAACTCTGATGGCTAAAAGTTTTCGCTTTTTTTAATTAATGGAACTTTGTTGATTTTCTCTAATCAATTTAGCTAAATTTTCGCATTTTTAAAGTTCTTGAAATCTCCATAGTATAACACGCTTAAAATACTCTCACGTTTTCCGGATGTTCATATAATTTTTATCACGTTCCAGAAATTCTCTCGGAGCTTTGCTGAAGTTTCCGGAAATTCCCTGAGTTTTTCGCAACATCTTTAAGGTTTCTACAATTTCCTTGAAATTATTTGAACTGCCCTTTGATTCTCTAATCTGTCTTGATGTTCTCGAAGCTTCCCTAAAGCTCTCAATTCTATTAAATAAATGGAATTCCCGTAAACACCTTTAAATTTCCCTAAAATTCTCGGAACATCTTAAAGGTTCTCGATTTTTTTTCAGCACATCATGGAACTATCCTGAATTATTCTAAATTTACGATTATAGATCTTTAAACTGCTCCAAAAGTCTGGACTAAAGCTACGGAAACTGTTTCTCAAGTTCGCTTGACACATGTGAAGTTCTCTGACATTCTAGGAGCTTCATAAAAGTTCCCGAAAATTTTCGGATGCTAAAAGAACCGCTTCCAGTAAGTTCCCCATATTTCCAGCGTATTAACTTCCCTTATGTTCCCGCAGTTTGTTTATGGAGCTTCACTAAAATTCTCAGCATTTCTTTTCATTACTCAGAACTTCTCCAAAGGTTCTACAATTACGAACTTAAAATACATTATTTATTTTTTTCTTGATTCTGACACTTTGAAAATTTTCAATATCTTGAACATGGAATACGAAACTTCAAGATATTGAAAAAATTTAGATCTTTGACTTACTGAAATTAAGTAAGTTTTAACTTTATTACCTGAGAAATTAAGTAAGTGTTAAACTCCAACATTCAATGGGAGTGTTCACTCGGCTGTCGACAAAAGCAGGCCACTCTCGATGTGTGCTACGCGATCGTCTGTTTCCTCGGCAGCAACCATTGTGTGGTCCTCCTCATTGTTCTTTGTCAGCAGTTCTTTCGGTCGATGCGTCGTCGACTTTGGAAAGCAACCGTTTCGTGATGAGTGTGTGAGTGCTGACCACGTTTTGCGTCCATTGCTGCAATGGACGCGCTCTGACCCTCGTTGGCGTACAACAATTTGCCATACAATGAAACTACTGGAAGCGGCTCCAGTTCTGATGGAGGAGGCTTTTTGGATAGCGGAAGATAAAGTGTTTATTGTGTTGTACCTTTTGACTATAGTTTTAAGATGTATTGTATAGTGACCAAGAATCCTCGGCTCTGTAAAGTTAATTCGGTTGAGCCTTATCAAATAAATTATTATACAAAAAAAAAAAAAAAAAAACATTCAATGGATTTGATTGTAAAGCTGTTTCTTGAAAACTGATTGCCATGTCTTAAAAAAAAGTATGGGTAAATTGCTGTTGTTTTTGATCTACCAAAAAAAAAAGCATATTTTTAACGCATTTTAAAATAGCTTTCTTATTATATTTTGAAAAACCTGGAAATTTTGAAAAACTTGAAAGTTGAAAATAGTGACTGATTACAAGAAACAGTGACTTTAGTTACTTGGCCTTAAAAAAGAGACTTTTTAGTGACTGGCTTGTAAAAATGTGACCAAGTCACTAAAAAGTGACTCGCTACCAGCCCTGAAATTGCGTTTGATGTTGCTATTGCTAGCTAATAATACAACCTTTTGCTATACTGTGAAGGAAAAATTTCGAAAATAATTAATTATTGGTTCATTCAACTGTAGTAATGCAAAGAGAAAATCGATCATCACAGTTAGGCCCTTATGATTCAAAATGCTAGATTTAACGCATCGCAGTCAAATAGTTTGCTTTTAAACTTTTTTTTTCAGAACCCATTTCAGTCACCTCTGGGATGCGCCCCAGGGTTCTCATTTGGATCCACTTCTTTTTATTTTGAACCTAAGCGACATTTCTCCTACATGAATAAAAAAATAAAGGTAGGGTAAGTGCTTCAGTTTTGGCCCTAGTGTCTAACTCAAATTTATTTGGAATAAATTTTCATGGCTTTATTCGCGTAGACATATGACAAAATCTATGTTCTAACCTTGGCAATAAATTTGAAAAAAATGATAAAAATAGAAAATCAAGATAAGACCATTAGGGAACACCATGGACCAAAAACTGGTTCACTTACCCTAGCTGTGACGAAATAAATCAAATTTATTGTTTGTCACAAGTATTTTTATTTAATGGTATTCAAAACCGAGTTATTGAGACTTTATTTTTAACAACAATCAACAAACGTAATAGGGGAAATGGATGTAATGTCGGCTCAATTGCCCCTAATTTGGGCCCATACATAAATTCAGCAATCGACTAAATTTTCAATAGCGACCAAAAATATCCTTTAGTACCATCCCAATGAAGCATTCATCTAGATAAAATTGATAAATAGCAGGGCGATGAGCGCAATCTTAGATCCATAGGTCAACATAAGAGCCATTTCCCCTACTTGAAACTATTCAGTCATTATCTTTATCGACATGACAACCATGTAATACCATGAACGAACAGTAGCCCGGATAGTATAGCTATCCCCAAGTGGTTTGTATGATACCCCGAATACGTCTTTAACGTCTTTCCAATAGTCGTTTTTATTAGAGAAACAAACAACTTCATAGGGGTACATTTGGCAAGATTTAATTTTTTTCTTACGAAAATGAAAATATTCAAAAATAAACTAAAGTATTATTTAAAAATCTATTTTGCACTAAAAGCTATAGCTATAGCTAGAATACAGGATATTTCTAGGTTGATTATTAAGGTGCTCCTGCTCAGACTATCCCGAATGGTTGCTCTTCTTTCGGTTGCATAAATAATAAGCCGTAATGTCTATTTGGCGCCATAACATTACATTCTTATAAGAATTTGAAAATAAAAAATATCACAACTTGACATTTTTCAACTTTAAAGGACGGATGCATTTACTATTCACTGCACCGAACGATTCCCAAACTTAGATTATTTAAGTAAAATTTGATATAGTTTTAGTTTTGTCTCAATTGTTCAACTTGATTGTTGAACAAAGTAACAACATAATATATTATGTTTGTACGAAAATCGTTCTACATTGCTATTATTACGGACAACACTGTAGAAGGTATTTAATTAGGAAAAACAAAAACATATGCATTAAAACCTTTACCCTAACTTTCAATTGCTAATTGACTCTATAATTATAATTTTTAATAAGGCAAATTTATGATTGTTTTGGAAAAAAAAATCACACTAACTTGGATTCAGTATGTAAACAAAGTCGAATCAGTGAAACCTAATAGGAAAAGATGTCTACCCTCCCTCCCCCAGTGGACTGTTGTACAATTCTACTTACTCCGGAATAAAGTCGTAAAACTTTTTTATCAGCAACTGCAGCCGCTCCCACAGGGTATTATACTCGAAGTCCTCCACAAACAGCTGAATGATGGTTTCCCGGTAGTTGAAACAAGCACCACAGCAGCAGCTCAGCCGGAAGAGATTACTGTCGTGCTGTTTTTGTTGTTGTTTTTCCACTGCTTCCAAAGTGTCACTTGCATCGCCATCTTCCCCGTCTTCATTGCCATCGCCTTCCATTTCAGCGGCAACAACATCAGCCGGAATGGAAGCATCCAGCTCAACCCCAGAGTCTTGCTGATTGCCACTAGTTTGCTGCTGCTGTTGCAGTACCTGATCCTCCTCAACCAGCGCCGAGGACGGGACCGAGTTCTTCTTTTCCTTCTTCACAACAACCGTATCGCCAACAATCACTTTCTGTGCAAGCACTTCTAAAGAGCGCTGCCAATAGGAAATGTCCTTCTCATTGCAGCTTTGCTGCTGCTGCTGAGGACTTCCAGGAGATCCATTTGGCAATTCCAGTGTTGTGGTCAGTGCGCTCGTTGCTGTGGCTGCTGAGGAGGCTTCCTGTAGCAGGGCAGAAGACATCTTTTTTACCGCGCCGCACCTTCGGCCCCTTCGCGCTGACCGCACTTTTCTGTGTCGTCGTCGCGAGTCGCGAATTTTTCCGCCGCTTTCCCCGTGGATTTCCGATGGATCGCTGCCGGAACTGGACGAGCTATTTAACAATTTTATTACCGCTTTTAACCAACGGGCCGGTAAGAATCCGTTTCCGAATACACACACATCAAATTAATAAGGCGTACAATGAGAAAAAAGAGTTTTTTCTTTAGTTCGTCGTCGACTCTCGCAAGAACCTCTGGCACACATAAAAAACTCTTCTAGCCGTCCCAACTTTTTTTTTTCGTCCGTGTGCGCAACGGTTGGCTACTCTGACTGTCAATCGACAGGAGCTGTCAATTTGAGCAACTTGACGTCCATTTATTGAGCAACAAATTTCTCTCAGTGCCGAGGGATTACCAAATGGGATGTCCAGAGCAATATAGTGCATGTTAGAAGTTTGTACACCACTTTTTACGAATCGGTATTCGAGATTATCGTATTGCACATTTCCCACCAAACTAGACAAATAAGCGTGTTTTTACTTATTATTGCACAATATTATCGTTTCAGTTGAAAACCGGAAAATCACACACGCGCCAATTGAATTTACACTCGTTCTGTACGTTAAACATTACGTCGGACATAGTGCGCTGTATTCGCACAATGATGCGCTATTCAGCGCACTATGTCCGACGTTATGTTTAACGTACAGAACGAGGGTAAAATTGAATGTCGCGTGTATGTTTTCCGGTGTCCAACTTGAACAACAATATTAATGTGATGAAAAGTGCGCTTTTGCCGAGACATTAAATCGTTTGGGTGTCTTCACATCGCATCGCATTGAGCAAGTTCAAAAATTCGAAGGTGGTAAAAGAGTAAAAGTCCTTGACCATTGTTTGAGAGTATTGCCACCTCCGTCCGCTACCGGATTGTACAATATGTGGGATTGATCTCGGCCATCTCCTTTAACTTTGTTCACTTTTGGGACTTCTTTCGACGCGGAGTATGTAAAATAAAAACACTAGTCACTTGTTCTGAGTTCGAGTGTTAACTAAAAAACAGATGTTTATTGAAAGGCATTTTTATATGTAAACATTCGAACAGCTCACATTTTGAATACATAGAATAACTGCATTCATGCTGTTCATCCAATTCAATCTATTCAAACCATCCTAATAAGGTTTTGCACCGTCGGGGTTAAACTCAATCGGATGACAGTTCAGTGGTACTGTTTACGTGGACTTAGTCGATTTTTTCTCGATAATTCAGACTACAGTGAGATGTAAACCACACTTCTGCAATGACCGCGAGCAACATCATTTCACCGCGCATTTCCTCGAAAATTCTCAAATAAAAAATCGGTAACTTCTAAGTGTTGGAAACAGAACCACTGAACTGTCAAAAAGATCAGCCGATGAAAACTGAGTTCGTTTGTGACGTCACGCTGCAGTACCTAATGATGGGTTCGGAACAGTTCTCGATGAACATTTCAAATGGTCCTATCTGCTTTGATCGATTCTCTTCATCGACTTTCTCTTTTCATAACCACTGCTGTGCAAACAGATTTCGCGCTAATTCTACCACATAGTTTGATAAAGGAGGTTCTTATCTAGCGTCCAAAACGTCAAATACAACAGGGAAAGGTTTTGCAGCTGAGTTATTACCGAAAGAGAAAGTCGATGAAGAGAATCGATCAAAGCAGATAGGACCATTTGAAATGTTCAACGAGAGTTGTTCGAATACGACCGAACTCCTACATCTCCAACAATCGAGAACAGTTACTGCTATGTGTGGTGTCGATCATAGCATATAATCAACAATCAATACGAAACTAACGATTTTAAATTGGCTTACTACTTGACTAGCCTATTGGTCCCAAGCAAACGATTAACGTACCCCATTCTAGTCGAAATTATAGTACTACGCAATGTTTGTTTTGATTCGCTATGACATTTTGACAGATAAAATGAGGGGTTATTGGATTTTCCTATGTTTTGAGGGGTGAATCGATTAGCTTGGGACCGAAGAGAGTACCAGAGCTGAGCCAAAAAGTTGAGCACGTTTTTCCGGGACCTACTAGTCTTAGGTCTTAGAGTTACCTCTATGATATAATTACCTTGACTTGTATTAATCTTGAAGATACTATACCTGAACCAAATAGGGGAACTGACGGCTTCGGCATGACATACTATTTTCGGCAACCCAAATTGAAACACTATTTTCACTGGATTTTTTACGAAAACACTTCGCTGAATGCATGCAAACGATTCTTTATGCTTTCAGCTTCCATTTGACTATATTTTTACCACTGAGAAAAATAAATCTAGCAGGGTTTTCTTGAAATGAAACACACGCACTACAAATTGTAGCTGATTTCGAGTTGCCGATAATAGAACAGCAGATTTACATGCAGTTCAAATGGAACGGTTGCCGAAGAAAAACTGGTTGCCGACAATACTCGCTCTTACTAGAGAAGATTGGAGCTTTGTGAAAGCATTTCAAAACAGTTTTTGACAATTCTTTCGATTGAAATTGTTAGAGCAGCTGGCAGCAAAAGATTGTAAACAAATCAATACTGCATATGTGTGCGTTCCATATAGAAAAAGGCTATAGAAAGAAGGTCGCTGCTTAGGTTGCCGAGAATACGTAAATTCCCCTACCTACACTGATAAATTTAACTATTCCCATTTTGCTTGAAATTTAATCAATTTGACATTAAACTCAGTTGATGAAAATAATCCTCTATTTCTAAAAAATAAGCATCTGAGATTAATCTCAGTTTAATCATGGTTGATTAGATTGTAGATTATCTTTTTTTGAATAAATTTTAATCATTTTTGATTCTATTTTAATAATTTTTGATTGAATTTTAATCTTTTTTGATTATGTATTAGTATTGAAAAAGAATAAAATTTAATACTGGAAAGATTATTTTGATTTTAATCATGCATGACTACTGCCGAAGTAATCATGGCTCGGACTCAATAAGGTGAAGCGGGAATCTGCATACTTTTTAAGCTTTTTTGATTTAATTTATCTTTGAGTGTAGATACATTGCTACTACCGCTGAACATACCCTTGTATTAACCAAACCTTGAAGCAGAAATAAAATAGTTTTTGTCTATCCACGAACCGGAACGGACGCGTGTGTTTATATATCTAAATTCTGATAGACCGAAACCCTACACTATGTACGTCCTTGGGTCCTTGCAACTGCTGGGGATTGGAACGATTGTTTGTTGGAAACTTATTTAAGAGAGATGCATGTTAAACGTTGCTGGCAGATTTATAATATCAATGGGGATATAATCAGGCACAGTGAAAAATTGCAAGGAAAGGGACGGGCCTGGGATTGTTTCGATGGGTGCATCGATTAGCTTGGGACCGAAAGTTGAGCACGGTTCTTCGGGACCTACTAGTATTAGAGTTACCTCTATGGTAGTACCATAGAGGTAACTCTAAGACTAGTAGGTCCCGAAGAAAATCATTATTATTTTTGGCTCACTCAGTACCAGAACAACGGTCCCAAGCAGTCCCAAGCTATTTCACTCACCCCTGCATGTTCTGCATGAATCCACACACCCCTGATGTTATCTGTCAAACTTTCATAGCGAATCAAAACAAACATAGTGTAGTAATAGAATTTCAACTAGAATAGGGTACGTTAATCGTTTGCTTGGGACCAATAGGCTACTAAAGTGGTGAGCCAATTTAAAATCGTTAGTTTCGTATTGATTGTTGCTTATTCCTTAGTTCAAAACGAAAAAGTGTGCGAACCATAACTTGACCTTAACAAAAATGGTTAAAACAACATGAGTTAATGTAAGTGATGTGAACAATGGTATTAAAGCAATCTGGATGGAAACTAAAATGTTGTTGTTCCCACTTCAGGGCAAAAGATTTAAAATAGTGGGCATGAGCAATCAGTATTCCTCCGATGCCTTCATTGAGCTTAAGCACGATTGACCACCCACGGTTGCTGTTATTGCCAGATCAGACAACAATCAATACGAAACTAACGATTTTAAATTGGCTCACTACTTGACTAGCCTATTGGTCCCAAGCAAACGATTAACGTACACCATTCTAGTCGAAATTCTAGTACTACGCAATGTTTGTTTTGATTCGCTATGAAAGTTTGACAGATAAAATGAGGGGTTATTGGTTTTTCCTATGTTTCAAGGGGTGAATCGATTAGCTTGGGACCGAAGAGAGTACCAGCACAAACGAAGTGACAGACGGAGCGGCTCGAAAACTTTGGTGACTAACCTTCTATTGCAATTTTTCAGTGTACCACATGGCAACACCACTACTACTGGATTGTACCACTACTACGATTCACCAAATGTACTAGAATATTTTGGTTCTATCTCTTTCACTCTACTCAAAACTGAAATGCATAAAAAAAATGACAAAATGATACGCACACTGTCAAAGAATCACTGTACATAAAATCAACTTTGTTCAAATCAAAACAAAAAAACTAACCAGGATGATGGCACAAGCTTCCAAGAAAAATCTATTACAGTGAACCACATTATTTAAATGGATTTTTTCACCAGTTAGTCGTCTGTCACTTCGTTTGTGGTACCAGAGCTGAGCCAAAAAGTTGAGCACGTTATTTTAGGACCTTCTAGTATCAACAATCAATACGAAACTATCGATTTTAAATTGGCTCACCACTTTAGTAGCCTATTGGTCCCAAGCAAACGATTAACGTACCCTATTCTAGTCGAAATTCTAGTACTACGCAATGTTTGTTTTGATTCGCTATGAAAGTTTGACAGATAAAATGAGGGGTTATTGGTTTTTCCTATGTTTCGAGGGGTGATTCGACAAGCTTGGAACCGAAGATAGTACCAGAGGTGAGCCAAAAAGTTGAGCACGTTTCTTTGGGACCTACTTGTCTTAGAGTTACCTCTATGCTAGTATCGAGTTACCTCTATGGATCAGATGTAATTACACAGAGAACCAACAGATGATGCCTGGTATTTACATTTATCTTCAATTTGTAAAAACTGGTGATTTAATATTTAGTAATAGGGTAGAGCACTACTTCAGCATAATCGCCCATTTTGAGCCTATCGAACAGAAAAATTCAAATAAATCCATTGTTTCAGAGATCAACCCACAAATAAAGGATTTTGTAAAATTTCGATCATCTGAACACCCCTCATTTCGCGATTAGAGCTATATTTACGGAGATAAATTGATTTAAAGGTTTGGAAGGCCCACCAGCCGACAAATAAGGATTTTGTGAAATTATCTCCTGTGAAATCCG